AAATTATTCCAATTTTGATGGTAGAAAGTAGAAATTAATTACGGCATTCACTATTAAAAACATAAGTGTAACACCCCCTTACTACATTTGTAACCTCCTTTATGACAGTGTCAAAATACTTTGGGCTGCATGTATAATCATAGAGAATCGAAAAAAATTTTAAAGTTAAGAATAATATTACTACAATGGAAACGTAAGTTGCATTTTTTTGATTTTGTATTTTTATTCATCAGAAATGCATACTAAGATTCATAATTATTTTTACAGGATATGAAATGAATATTTATATGTTTAGTCAACTCAATTTTATGTTAGATAATGAAACACACAAAAAGATCCCAATTGGACAATTGGTAAAATTAGATACATTATTGTATTCACATGGTACACCCACATCCTCAAGTCTATTGTATAACTTATTAAGAAAATTGGTTGACTTATGGTGCTTATTAAAAGATATAAGAAAAGAATATGAATCATGTATAAATAGTAGCCTCACTTACAATCCAGAGGACCAAGAAAATATTAATATGTTTGGTAATATTATAAATCCAAATATTAAGACACCACCACATAAATAATAAGACTGGCAACAAACAAAAGATGCCAAAAAATAATTAGTATTAGAAATTCATTAAAAATATTTGCAAATCAATTTTTATCAGCAATTAATGATTGAACACGATGTATATAATAATGACCATGTATGTTGTTGCATTTACCAACTATTTTGGTCTTGCCCAATAACAAGATAGAGTAAATGTTTCTCAATAACATTCTCAGTACTATTACGATTCTAGTAAGTTTTTATAAATAAGATCCATTATTGATTGCTGAATGACTTAGTCGCGTGATAGACGTGAAAGAATATTCCGAATACAAAAAATCAAAGAAAATCGTATTATTTTTATAAAATTGATCGCATTACTATTACTGTTATTATTATTATTTTGATCCCTGCAATTCTGGAATACCAAATGTTTACTTTGTCTGGTTTTGTTGCAGTATGTCCCATATAGTCAAGGACATTTATGTCCGTGTGCACTATGAAATTTCATATTGGTAAGGACATTGATGTGTGTGTGAATAAATTGCATCACCAAGGTAATAATCAAGGTAATAATAAATGCTACCAAGACCATGCAAAAAAGAACCCAGTTTTGAAAGAAAGAAAGTGATTTATTAATTCCGTCAGAAAAAAAAATAAAAAATCGTAGATTTCCTTATAAATCATTTTGAAAAACTAAAATGAATAATATTTAAATCTAATATATCGAAAGAAACAAAACGTAAAAATGGTTAAAAATGGTCAAACATCTCATGAACACACGGGAGGCTTTGATGACAAGTTCTTTGAAAACTTGAATGCAAATCCAAACTTTATAGCCTTCTCTCCCCGTTCTGAATTTTCCATATTTTTTTTTTTAAATAAAATAATCATCCAATTACAATTAATGAATTTTTGGAAGGTGCCTTTGAAGTGGCAGGAATGGAATACTATTTTTTAATACAAGCATTAGAAATTCATTAATTGATATTCTCAGCGAATCCATGAAAAATTTCACATTCATCACCAAGATTTTTGCGTTATATGGGTAACTCACCCGAACTTATTGTCGGAGACAATTCGAGGCCAAAAAAAATGCAGAAAAAAACGGGACAGTTGATAACTGCATTCTTTGAAAAAAAAGTGGAAATGATGTTCAGTAGTTAAGAAATGACTGAAGTTGCAATTAGAGACTTGGAGCAGCAGCTTAGAAATGGTAATGGATATAAATTACAGCTTATAGCTGCGCTTCAATTGATAGGGCACAAATTAAGTTAGGAAATTCTATTCCATTTCTAAATCGTAGTTTAGAAAAACCTCAAGTTTTACTAGATGGCGAAGGTCTTTACATAAATTTAATATTGATGATTTTATTAATCATCTTTCATCTGTTTATTTTTCCATGTGTCGGAATTGGAAAGAAACAAACATAAAGTGAATTCCCATTAGATTAATTTAATTGCAATAATAATTTTTCAATCATCATTTTCTAAATACATACATAACTCTACACATAGTTTATTTTTCAAGTAACTACTATCTGACATCAAATTTGGAGAATATTTACAACTATTTAAATTATATTTATCAAATATATCACATTTTATAATTAATCTCTATGCTTTCTTTACCATGGATCTCCATGCTTATTAAAAACAACTAAATCATTTGTTTTTTTTCCAGATTTTCTAGAAGATTCCTTGATTAATTTCCTACCCTTAGATATAGAGGTAGATTTTTATTTTTTTCCCTTTTTAATTTTCCAAACAATTCATTATGCTAATAATAAAATAATTTTAATATATATATGTAAACATCTAAATTCAACAAATTTTATTGGTTTAATTGCTTACTCTCATCTTTTCAATCTTTTCGATTTTATAGCTAACACTATCATGATTCCTCCAAGCTCTACTTTTATAACTGTTTCTTGTTGATTTTGGGTATTGAAATAGTTTGGACAGACACGAATAGTCACACATAGGTCATAATCTGGATAATCAGGAATAGATTTGAAATTATATTGAATTGGAATATAATTGCCTGTATGTATAAGTACTTATTATCATAAGAAGAAGAAAAAAGGAGAAGAACAAAAAATCAGAAATTTATAATCAAGGTATTAATCCCATCATCCATCCATCCACTCATTCACTCTCTTTTTCCAATATGCCTGTTACAACATCAGAATCATCAGTATATATATGTCAGTACCTCATAAAAATCTTTTTCTAACTTTTAAATTTTCCCAAGATAAATGTTTAGCCAATATCCAAATTTCCAATAAACCGTTCGATTAAATTCCAAAGGTGGAAGAACTTCTTTAGAGCTATAAAATAATTGATCTATTTTTATCAACATGTGTGTTAGTTGTGAATTTTAAAAGTTTAAAGTAAAATGAAAGAAAAATTTTACTTTAATTTATTTTACCTAAATGATTGACAATTTTCTTATGTTTGTTTTTTATTTTTTTTATTTTTTTATTATGATTATTACAAGTAAATTTATTATCATTAATAATAACTTCTTCCATTACTTCATCACCTTCAAAAACTTCATTATCATCATCATTTTGATGACAATCATTCTTATTATTGTAATGATAAAAACTACTATCAATAATATCCTTAATATTATTAGTCATATTTCGTCTAAAAACTGTGTTAAAGATGATAAAGATGTAATTGACACTGATGATAATCTAGTAAGTGGAGTGTAACAATATTGGTGATGAAGAAGATGACAAAGTTGGAAATTGATCATCACTGTTATTATTAGAAAGTGTTGCTGAAACAGACATATAATTTGAAGTTAGAGAGTCTATTAAATTGTTGCTATTTGCGTCAGTAGTGAAAGAATAATGACGTTGGGGAATATGAAATTGTTTAGAAGCAGAGGATATCAAATAAATAGAATCATCGAGTCTTAACGGAATTGCTATTATTATTACTTTGTAAAGTTATTGGAGGTGGTAGAGTAATCCTGATATTGTTAGAGACATTTTTTTGGAAGATGGTTCCATAATTGGTTGTTGGGTTAGCTATATAATAGGATTGTTTCTAGAAAAAAAATGTGTGGCTTTACATTTGTCAATTTAAATTTAACTGTATACAGTGCGGATCATCTATACTCAAAAGTCAAAATTTTTGAAATATTATGTGATCCACACATTGGATTTTAAAAAA